AAGAACAAATACTGTTTTCTTTATGTTTTAATGCATATGTTTATTTTATCATATGTTTGTTTTTCATGGCATTGAATTATTGCCCATTATAAGACTGCTCTGGGTCCCCTTCGGGGTGAGAAGGGTGGGATATAAATACAGCAAATAAATATATATTTTTTGCATTTTATTAAAAAAAACGCACACCACATTTTGTATATTTCATATGATACTCTGTTTTGTAAGCCACTCACATTAAAAAAAAAGAGTAGAAGTTTTACAAACAAAGAGTGCAACAAATTTAAATGAGGGTTTTTTGTGTATAGTATTTTTTATCATTTCAACCAATGTGATCAACTGGAGGTGACCCTGCAATCTTTCCTATAGGAGCCGAACCAGCAGTCTTTTAAGCCTTTATTGATAGGAAACTGGATAAATTACTTATCAGAATCAATATTCAAATTTGCCATATGATACCATAACATTAATCCACTAAACATTCAACTGCAAAAGCTAAACACCAAAACACAATGACTTTCATGCTATTATGACAATCCCCATCATGTCCCCTTTTCCTGTTATCTCTTACTATAGTGTAAATTTACAATCTCGATATCTCCAGGGTGAGGAAGCTTTAATACTCTAGATTAGTGGTTCTCAACTTGGGGTCCCCAGATGTTTTTGGCCTACAACTCCCAGAAATCCCAGCCAGTTTACCAGCTGTTAGAATTTCTGGGAGTTGAAGGCCAAAAACATCTGGGGACCCCAGGTTTAGAACGACTGCGGGTTAATAATCTACTATTCCCATGCCATTTCCCAGATCTTAATCACTTTTTGAAGCAGCTCCCTCATGAGGATAACCAAAAAGTGGAGCAACCTGAAACCGCTTGAGTCATTTTCGGGCTAAGAAAGGCAGAATATACAGTAAATAAATAAATAAATAAATAAAACTAGTCCAGCTGAGACTAGATACCAATCTGTGACCACTCTCTCAATTCTTCCTTACCCCAAGGACAATCTGTTGCGCTAAGGGTATTTCAATGAAATCCAATGCAGAAGACACAATAACATTGCAACTTTACTCTTATCAGCAGAGTTAAAACATAAACTTGCAATGTTACAAACTGTGCAACAAACTTACATAGTCTTTGTAAGCAATACAGAATAAAGCTTCTTCATCTTCATCCAAATGAGAGAGCAGTAGAAATGGTTGAGCAAAATGCCAGAGCAAAGGCTCCTCAGAGCAAAAGCTGAACTGTATTCTAAAAACCATACAGTTATACCCCATCAGGTGTGGTCCAAACTTACTAGTTGACCAACATTAGCAGCTGCACATAATAATTAACAGCATAACAGCACACACACACTTGATCCTGTTACGACTTACTATAACACAATCCATTGCTATTGGCTGCTTAACTTATTCCTGCTGGCCATTTTCTGCAAGCCAGACCCAGGGCACTTCTCCCTCCTCAGGTCCTAGGAACAAGCCCCAGATCAGCTCCAACAGCAGACTCTTTCATCAAACCGTATGCTCCAGGATCTAAAATGGCCGTTCCAGAGTCCTCACCACCTATTTGACAACCTATTTATTGACCCCATTTCTACCCCATGCCTTCTGTGCTGGATCGTATTACTCATGAGAAACATAGTGAAAGAGCTCCTTATCAACAATCGCTGGTGCAACAGGAAAGATGTCTCATACTAACTTAACTCAGTATCTTGAAAATCTGAACCAAATAAATTTTCCATGCTTGAACCCTCTAGTATCAGGAAGAAAAAAATACAATGTGCTACAACCAGTTTAAAGTTCCCACAGAAAGATTAGTGGATCCCATCTGATCTAGTTATCTACCTGTGGGTCATAGTTGCAACCAGCTGTTTGAGAGTGGCCACATTTAAATATTTGATATCATATTGAGGAGGGAGCCACTTTGTTTTTTGCTGCTTTAGAGGCTAAAATGCAGAGCAATTGATTCAAACTGCAGGAAGAGATTCTACCTAAAAATTAGGAAAACCTTCCTGGTGGCCAAAGCGGTTTGATAGTGGAATGTGATACGTTGGAATGTAATGGAGATTTTAAAAATGGAGGATGAATGGCCATCTTTTGGGAGTGTTTTGATTGTGCATTCCTCCACGACAGAGGTTTGGACTGGGTGGCCCTTGTAGTTTCTTTCATGATTCTATGATTCTAAGAGGAGACTGTACTATTGTTAATAGCCTCCTCTCACCTGGAGGTGGCACTGAAATCCTGTCTATTGAGTCAACAAACAAACATACAAACAAGAACAGTCTTTAAAAAGTTTTATTGATGTGGAACTGTATAGTTTAGGCATCGGCACTAATATTCAAAGTCACCATAAGATAGTAACCCACCAAATATTAAAACACTAAAGCCAAACCAAACCAAACCAGAGTGGCGTTCGTGTTACTATAACAGACATTTTCATTATGGGCATTTTCACGACCTGTAACCAGATACAATGGTGTAAATCTACAATACCAATATTTGAAGGATGAGGAAGCTTTGATACTCCATGTGTTGATAATCTACTCCTGCATCATGCCACCTAGGGATGGTAGGAAATGGACTTCAGCAACATCTGGTAATTCAATGGTTTTCCAACCATACAAACTATTATATATTATTATACATTTAAAACTAAGCACTGGAACTTGTGGTGTTCATAATTCTGTGTTAGGGGATTCTCTACTCCATAGAGAGCGACCACAGTTGCATGCAACTGAATATTGAGCTCTTCCCAAGGGTCTAAAATATTAGAGGTATTTTCAAATAATGTGTGCGGTTCTGAGAAGTGCTGCCTCCTGCAGCATGTGGATTGATGTTCTGTCCAAATTAAGGCTTTTCAAGTACTTTCTGAGGTTTCTTGGAATGCCTCCAAGAGCACCAATCACTGTTGGTACCACTGTTGTTGTCTTTTGCCATAGTTGCTCCATTTCAATGTGTAAGTCCTTGTATTTCACGATCTTTTCCAGCTCTTTTTTCTCTACTCTACTGTCGCCTGGTACTGCAATGTCCCAATTTATTTATTTAACTCAAACCCTTTTTTTCTCATAAGGAGACTACTCTTAGTAGATATTATAGGTTTGCTCTGTTATTAAGGAGATTATCACATGAAGGCTGGGGTGCATGGTAGTAACTTGTTAACAACAACTATAAATGCCATGTATCACGTTATGTCATCTCAAAGCAGTGGCATTCCAGTTTTCCTCTCATTGTTTGGCTGAACCTTTTAAAACACAAGGGGAAACCATGAATAGCTTCCCAGAATGACTTTTTCAAGTGTTGATGCTGGTGTGATAAGTCTCTGGCAACCTCAAACTCTGTTACTGCATATCTGCAAAGCTGAGCAATTACAAATACATGAAATGGTGAATTGTCATGATAACAACCCAAATCTCAAAATCGTGTAGTATTTCAGTTTAAAAAGACAGGTAGACATGGCCTACAAAGAGCAATGTATGGGTTGGGAGGACTGGTCTACAAGATAGCAAGCTAAGCAGAAAGCATGATCTGTATTTTGAAAGTGCTATCAAGTGAAGAGTGCGATATAAATAAGGGCTAGGATGGGGTGTCCTTGCTTTCCACTAGGATGGGTTTGCAATGCCTGAACACACTTGTAAACCATTGTGGGGCAAAGTCCTAAGTTTCCAAGGAATCTCAGCACTTTCTGAAATAGCTTTGGAAGCCACTGACTAAAATGTTGTGACATCTGGTAGTTATCTGTATAAAATGGAGATACTGAAGGCCAAACTTGGATCCACTTTTTGTTTTCCAAACGAAAAGGCAAAGGCTTATTTCATACAAAGCAAAATAAATATTGGTTTTATTTCTTTTATCCACCCATCCTAAAGCTATTTTTGCTCCACAGGTAAAAAGCTTCCAGTACCTGGAACTCACCATCCACCATACACTTTCATGGAAAGAACATAGAGAATCTGTGACCCAAAAACCTAAGGCTTGCCGAGTTGCTATACTTAGATTTTACCACACCAAAGGAGGACAACATGTCCCCTCGGCATTAAAAATATTTAATGCCAAAATTGCTTCGAAACTTCTTTTTGGTGCAGCTATTTGGTGGGAAAACATGTATGCAAACTTAGACAGAGTCCAAGCAAGGTTTATAAGAGACCTGTTAAACGTGCCACACTACGTTCCTAACACAGTCGTGTTACTAGAGATGGGTGAATGCCCACTAAGCGCAAGGGCCTGGATTCTGAAAATGAATCTATGGCTGAAAATAATTGTATTCAAATCAGGAATGGGTTTATCACATTTTATCTCCTCCGATACCATTCAACCCTTTTGGGCAAGGAGGGCAGATCGGAAAGCGACCTAAATTGGTCTATCAGCATCCCTTTTGCTCCATCTAGGTTTCAAAATGGCACAGGATTCATTCAAGCAACGGATGAGAGATATTGCCCTAAGAGAGCTCAGAGCCCACTCAAATTCATCATGCTCCCCTAGATCCCTGAACTTACCATACATTGAGCCATTCAAATCATGTAAATATCTCACAGTGTCTAATTACCATAGACAAAAGCAAGACTAAGTGAATTTCTATCAGAGCTGCTATATGGCAGATTATCTGGCATCCCCTACTCCCAGAGATTATGCTTGTGTGGTGGAAATGAAATAGAATCACTAGAACACATTTGGCTGCAGTGTCGCTATTACTCAGCCCAACGTGGCCACTTCTTACACTCAATCCTGACCCGATTGTCTGACCATTCCCCGCAAGGGAAGGTCAGACATCTTTTGGAGGACAAGCACCACAGGGGGACCCTCATGGTGGCAAAGTTCCTCGCAGTGGCAGCAAGACTGAGAAAGAGCCTAGTCTCCGATCAAGGTATTACTTGACACTGTGAAGTGTGCATCTATATAGTATATTTCCCTGGTTACAAGGGATCTGTAAACTCCAGTGTGTTTATTTTTTATTTAACAGTTGTGGGTCCATGGACCATAATAAAGTTCTTACATGTTTTTGTTCTACACTCCATTTTATGTCAACTTTCTGTTCTGGTTTCAAATATTATCCTTATTCCTCTTCCGTTCTCTAGTTGACTGTAAAAACAGGCTTTAGCCTTTATTTTGAGAGATTGTCACTCATCGTGATTGAAGCAGGACACCTTAAAACAAGCCAAATGGATGAACTAACAGAGAGTACACCAAGTGCAGGGTATTATTATGATGAACCATCTGAGTCTAACTTTTGTGATAAGAATGACTCCTTTGAATTCAGTGCCCTGTTTACCAGCGTTCTGTACTCTGTGATTTTTGTCTTCAGTCTGCTAGGAAACAGCCTTGTCTTGAGGATTGTACTGAAATATGAAAGCCTCATGTCCTTGACTAATCTTTTCATTGTGAATCTTTGCATCAGCGACTTGGTCTTCTCGTGTACGCTGCCCTTCCTGATCGTGTACAGTTCCTATGGGTGGATTATGGGAGAGTTTCTCTGCAAAGCTGTGAGTGCCATCTTCTCTATCAGCTACTTTGGTGGTGTTATCTTTCTTACCATCATGACCATCCTCCGGTACCTGGCTGTGGTAGATCCTTTGTCAACACTGAGAACACAGAAAAAAAGATCTGGCATATTGGTGAGTTTGGCTGTTTGGATTACCAGCTTGTTATTTGTGATCCCTGAGATCCTTTATATCCAAGTGACAACTGACATTGATGGCGATTACAGGTGTGAGTACCAAGAGTTTTATCCCTGGGAGTTGGTGGACTTGTGTCTGAAAGTACTTTTCTTCCTAATATCCTTCTTGATCATTGCCATTTGCTACACTGGCATGCTGGACATTCTTCTTAGATCAAGATCACAAAGCAGGCACAGGACGGTGAGACTCATATTTGCCATTGTATTGGTCTTTTTTCTGAGCTGGGCCCCTTACAATGTGCTTGGTTTTGTGTATGCTCTCTCCTCTCAGCTTGTCATAAAGTTACAATGTCAAACCCGGAATGAAATTTACTTAGCTTTTGACATCAGCCGCAAAATAGCCTACTGCCATTGTTGCCTCAATCCGGTGCTCTATGTCTTTGTTGGGGTGAAATTCAGAAGGCACCTGAAACTTCTCTATAAGCAGTATACTCAGCGCCATAGAGCCATCCTACCTTCTAGCCCAAGACATCATTCTTCTCATGCCGGCCCATACGAGGAACAATCTCTATACTAAAGCAAAGACTGCCTGGCAACCTGCATGCATTAACCAACCTAAAAGAAGAGAGGAGGGAAATACCTAGAAGAATTTCTACAATGCTTCCAGTACAAGCTCAACAAGTTCATTTACACAGCCCCACTTCCTTGACTCAGAAGACGAGGGCAAGAAATACTGCATGAATAATTTGGTTTCTCATGAACATTTTGTACCAAATGTGTGATGTACAGCTAACCCCCACCTACGGACTGCAATTCCCAGGCCAGGATGGCCGGTGGTTCTGAAGTTCATAGTCCAAAACTGCAGTTTCTCTGTGCTCTGGATTTTAACTTGAGAATCTTTTCTAATCTGCTTTGGAGATCTTGTGGAATACAATGCAAGTGTGTGTGTGTGTGTGTGTGTGTGTGTGGAGTATTTAATAAGTGACATGCTCTGCCCCAACTCTTCATTTGCTCCATTTTGTTCAAGAAAATGGTACATGCTTAATTTTACAATCTCTCTTGAGTGAACAAGATAGAAATGAAAATCGTTATAAGGTGAACATAGCATCACAGAGTCAGATTAAGAAAGAGAATAGACATCTCTGGGGGTGTTTAGGCAGCACATAGCTCAGGATATGGCTGTCCTATCTCCTCTATATAAAGACCCCAGGAGAGAAAGAGATCATTCCTGTTGTATAATTGGTCCAATTGTGATTTATTTTTTACTTTCAAGATACTTACTTACATTTTTGAGTACTCCCCCAAAGCAGGGGAGTACTCAAATATCTGAAAAATAGATATTTGAGTACTCCCCCGCTTTGATTTTAATCTCTTCTACATTGGAGTCCCCGGTGGCATAGTTGGTTAAAGTACTGAGCTGCTCAACTTGTTGACTGAATGGTCGTAGGTTCGAATGCGGGGAGCGCGTGAACTCCCGCTGTCAGCGCCAGCTTCTGCCAACCTAGTAGTTCGAAAACATGCAAAATGTGAGTAGATCAATAGGTACTGCTCTGACGGGAAGGTAACAGCACTCCATGCAGTCATGCTGGCCACATGACCTTGGAGGTGTCTACAGAGAATGCCGGCTCTTCGGCTTAGAAATGGGGATGAGCACCAACCCCTAGAGTCAGACACAACTGGACTTAATGTCAGGGGAAAACATTTACTTTTACCTTAAATTCATCACTGCCATTAGTGAAAGAGAAAGGTGGGGAAATTGGTTATATACATACAGGATGATCAATAATGTTCTATAAAAACATAATCAAATATTGTTTTGATATCTGAATATGATAAGGAATTAAATGATTTATATCCCAAAGTTGGTAAGCCAGTACCAGATACTGTATTTGCAATATGTGTGAGTACATACTTAACTTCCTGCACAGTCACTGACAACACAGATGAAACATGTCAATCTTGCAAGTTGATGTTAAACATATTAGTGTTGATCTGGCACAAAAAGTTAGGTATATGTAGTTGTCAGTACATACTGTTTGCATATTGATATTAGAAAGATTGTAGCCCAATGATCGCGCACATAGAACCAAAACTTGAAAATGTTACTTTTTTGGGCCCTAGCTCTGAGAAATCACCAAACAGCAATGTCTACATTGGGTGGGATGTACTGGAAGCTGTGACCCCTATAGCTCCATTGGGACTATGGAGAATTGCCTTACAATGCATTGATTATTGATTTTTCAAGGATAGCATCTGTATATAGTACTGTATGCTCTTTGGATCTTCAAGCTGATTCTTTTCACAGTCCTGCCAGAAAAATCCAAGTATGAATTGGGCACTTTTAAAAATTAAGTGCCTTTCTTCAGCTTAAAAATGGTCTGACTAAAGTGCAAAAGAAATCAATTGGAAAACAGAACGGTTAAAAGATGCTACTTGGAGGGCCTCAGTATATTTTCAGGCCATTCCAGTTCTGTACTTTTACAGTGATTTGGTATATATAGCATTGTTTTTAAACTTGTAGTAATAGCACTGTTGATAGACTCATGCTTCTGTGTTAGGAATTTTGAGACCTGTAGTATCATAAATACTCATTTCTGTTTTTACAGTATTTTAACATTGAAAATCTCCATGATGGTTTCTAAATGACAAGTGGAAGTAGCAAGTGTTTGAAAATGTCACTAACATATTTTTGCTCTGATCCTAATAAAGATTAATTTTAACACTGAACTAATTCTTGTGATTTTGAAAAAGCCACTCAGAAATTAACAACTTCAGGCCAGTATCTGATCTTCCTTTTTTGGGCAAGGTTCTGGAATGTGTGATGGCTTCGCAACTCTAGGGGTTCCTTTTTAAAAAAAATTTAAGCCATTGCCCATCTTACCAGTTATGCATCAAGACAGAAAAATCACACTGCCAGGAAAAAAAGGAACCTACCTTCGGTGTGCCTATACTGCAAAATTAATGTAGTTTGACATCACTTTAATTACTATGGCTCTATGATAAGGACTTATGTGAGTTGTGGTTTTACAAGGCCTTTGGCCATCTCTTCTTGGTGGCTACCCAAACTATAAATCCATGGTAGTGCAGCAGGTTAAACCTCTAGCTGCAGGAAATCTACTGACCAGAGAGTTGGCAGTTTGAAGCCACGAGTTGGGGCTAGCTCCCACTGTTAGCATTAGCTTCTGCCAACCTAGCAGTTCGAAAGCATGCAATGCAAGTAGATCAATAGGTACCACCTCGGCCGGAAGGTAAAAGGCCAGCAACATGATCGGAGATGTCTATGGACAACAGGCTCCTCGGCATGGAAAAATGGAACAAAAGCATCTTCCCATGGCCGGAGTTGAGCCTTGCCTCCAAGATGCTGGAAATGAAACAGGATGGCATTTACCTTTGTCTGTATATTGTATGCCATTGTTGTTCACTGTGTAAAAGGCATTGAATTTTTGCCTTATATGTGTACAGTGTATACTGTAATCCGCTCTGAGACCCTCCGGGGAGATAAAGCGGAATATAAATAAAGTGTATTATTATTATTATTATTATTATTATTATTATTATTATTGAGCCCAGGATTCCAAAATGTTGAACCATGACAAAGTGGTGACAAACTTCATTAATTATACAGTATTTCTGGTTCTCTATAAGAAAAATAGGTGATCAATTTTTGCCATTCAGACAAAATATTGAATAAGGACCTTAGCATGATCCTGTTTATTCAGCAATCTTTTGTGCTATCGATAAGACCAAGTTATTATTATTCCATTAACATACTGGCATCCCAGCTAGGAGACATCTTTGGTTCCTTCTACACTGCCATATAAAATCCAAATTTTCTGCTTTGAACTGGATTATATGGTAGTGTAGACGCATATAATCCAGTTCAAAGGAGATAATGTGGATTATCCACTTTGATAATCAGGTGCCTTAGTGTAGAAGAGGCCTTACTGTAGAAGAGGACACCGGATAAACAGCCAACTGCTAGAGATCTGGATTGCAGCCGATTCAGGACCACGGACAATGCCAAAAGTCTCAATTTACATTTGGGATTAGGGCAAGAAATCCAACAGTAGAGGTTCTGTCTATCTGGTCCTACAGGTGATTTGGACTTCAGCTTCCAGAATTCCTGAATTTTGGCCAAGCTGGCTGGAGCTTCTCGAAGTTGAAATTCAAAATAACCTGGTCGTCTCCAACATTGCCCTACAGGTAACATTGGAGACAATTACCCCCAGAACTATGCTGTAGAAACTGCTAGGCTTTTCAAGGATTGAAATCCAATTCAGTGCATAATCTGGGTTTTCATCTCCATTAACAACTGTGAGAATACATTTACGGTCTTGTTGTAAATTAATGCAGAACATAACACACAGCATTCCAAGTATACAGGAAACATTGCCAACGTCAGTGGGGAACATCTGCTGTATAAAAGAGTACCATTGATGGTACTGTACTGACCACAGGATATGAAGCAAGCAAGTTGTTCCCTTTTGCCACCTCACCCAACCACAAATCTCCCATATGTTAGTTGCTCTGTGGATATATTCAGCAATTTTAGGAACATCTACATGAACAGCATCCCCATTCCCATCAGAGGAATTAACTTGAACATGAACAACATTGTCATTCCCATCATCCAAAGGAACTTGATCATTAGAGACAATCACAGACTGAACAGGCTGACATACAACAATGACCCAAGTGAGATTTATTTCAAACTAGCTTGGGTACCCGGCATTACCTGGGGAAACTGAAAAAGTCAATTTTTAATTGTACAAAATGCATACGGTTGTGGGTGAACTACAACTCACATAATGTCAGGTTAAGCCAAAAAGCTCCACCAGTACTTACAATTTGTTATGTTGGGCAAGTTTTCTGTAGATGCATAATCAGTGGGGTTCAGTGTGCTCCCTGGCTGTGAGTCAATCCCCTCAAATCCCTCCAGTAGGTTGAGTTAGTCATGGAAGTTTTGTGTGCCAAGTTTGGTCCAAGTTCATCCTCAGAAAGGAAGGTAACCCCCCCCCCCCAACTCTTCCAGTAATCAAATTTCAGCATATCAGGTATGTGTGCCAAGTTTGATCCAGATCCATTGGTGTTTGGGTTCACAGTGCTCTCTTGATGTAGGTGAACTACAACTCCCCCAAATTAAGTTGAATTTTCCCCAAAGACGTCCAGAATTTTTTGTTGGTCATGGGGGCTCTGTCTGCCAAGCTTGGCCCAATTCCATCTTTGGTGGAGTTCAGAGAGTGCTCATTGATTGCAGGTGAACAATAAATCCTTATACCTACAACTCTAAAATGTCCAGGCCAATTCCCCTCAAAACCCATCAGTATTCAAATTTGGGCATATGGGGTATGCATACAAAGTTTGGTCCAGATCCATCATTGTTTGGGTTCATAGTGCATTCAGGATGTAGGTGAACTACAACTCCTATAAATCCCTCCAAAGACCTCCAGTATGTTGTTTGTCATGGGGGTTCTATGTGCCAAGTTAGTTCCAGGTCCGTCATTAGCGGAGTTCACAGTGCTCTTAAATTAGATTGCACGTGAACTATACATCCCAATTCCTACAACTCCTCTAAATCATAGTGAATTCTTCTCAAACTTTTCTAGTATGTTCAGTTGCTGATAAATTCCTGTTTTCTGTGTGCCATAGAAAAGAATAGGAAATGGTTAAGGGAGAGGCAGTGGGCAGGGTCATGCAAATTCCACACTAATGGAGAAAGTAAGAAACACTGGGATGTCTGTGGTAGAGGAAACACGTGAAATCTAGGATGAAATTGTCCCCATATAAAAGCCTTCACTTGGGTGGTGGGCAGTATGGTGTTTGTGGAGGACATTGGCAGGACTTTTGTACATGATCATGATGCTCACTATAACCTACAATGTCATTGGAGGGAGAGCTATTGGTGTCTCCTGAGTAGTGGGATCTATAGC